CTGCGGCCCGGGCGGCGGCGAGCTCGGGGCTCAGGCGCCGCGGGGAAGCCAGGCCTGGGGCTCCGGGTGCTGCGGCGGCGGCGGGCGGGGGCGGCTCAGTGGTGGGCGCCTCTGATGGCCTTCCGAAATGAGAGGTGCCCAGAGAGAAAACAGTACCAAACAATCTCGAAATAAATCAGGTAACACATGCTGTATATGTGTGTCTTCCTTTCCGTTCTCTCCTGCTGCAGACCGTCGCTCACGCGCGGGTTGACTCGGTGTCGTTTTCTCCTCGCTGCTCCAGCTTCTCTTCAGCTTCTAATCCGAATTGGAAGCGGGTAGCCACGAGAGCGATCACCCTGGAAATGTTTTCATTTTGCTTGTTGACATTGGGGGGGAAATAAGGGTGGGCATCTATTTCTCCCCCCCCCCGCTTTTTTTTTTAAGCCTTCCTATATTTCATCCTCTCTTTCCTTTTTCTTTTCCGTATCTCAAATGGTTTTATTTTGTGCGGACCTCAATCCTGAAATAACAATATGCTGAAGCCAGCCCTTTCCCACCCTGAGTGCTGCTGGCAGGCACCTAGGAGCCTGGGAAACGTGATCCCACCATCCCAGATTCTTGGGCTTTGGAACTGGGACGGTTCGGTTGAAGGTTGAAGTGAGTGGGGAGATTGCTATTCGGGGGCTTTAAAAAGGATCCCGTGGCCAGGGGCAGGGCCAAGGCCCAGCATTTCCCAGGGATTGGAATTTAGAGCGGAGCACATTGATCAAAGGCTGTTTCATCCCACATGGGCACGAAACATACCACATTTTACGGAGGATGTATCTCGAGAGAAGAGGGAGGTGGAGGAGAAGCATAAATGAAAAACACCTTTCTCCTCCTCTGTAAGGTAAATAATAAAAAAAATGTAAACATTTCTTCACTTTGATAAACTCTTAATTAAATTATTTGGCAGATTTAGTATTTAAGAAAACGGAGGAAGGAAAAGTAGTGCCTATATGTGATGGTAGAGTTAAATTCTAACATAAAGAATGCGATTGATGAATACTCAGGATAATAGGGAGTTATTCCACTCTCCTCACCCCCAACCTTGAAAGTCTGAGAGAGGGAGAGAGAGAAAAGAGAAGAAAACTTTGGAGAAAATAATAAATAGGTAATTACCAATATCTAGTACATTTTAAATATGCGTCTATTAGAAATGCCATAAAGGAGCTTTGAATATTAATCTAACCTCAAATATCCTACCACTGTATGTATGTATCTTCTGCTATGCCTACATATCTCCTTACTTTAAAACAAACTATGTTAACTGTGGAAAAATGCAAGGGTACCAGCAATCAGTGTTGCCAGTGACATGGCCCCAAACATTGATTTCTAAGCTCGGGATTTCTCACTGAGCCGGTGAGCTAATGGGTTTTGCAGAGGGCTGAAGAGGTCTGTGGGCTTTCCTCTTCCTGCTCCCTTCTTCTCCTCCCACCCTTCTCCCCTCCTCAGGCCTTTTCTTCCTACTTTTCCTCAACTCTCTTTCTTCCCTCCTCCCCTCTTTCTCCCTCCTTACCCCTCCCTCTGTTCCTCTCCCTCTCTCCATTCCTCCACCTACTCCTCCCCATTTCTACCCCCACAGCCCCCCTTCTCAACACCACTTATAATGGCACACAGGGCTCCCTCTGCGGTGGACGGCCCGGTACGTTTTCGTAGTCGGTCTAGCGTGAAATGATTCGGTGTAACCGGATTCTTGGGAAAGGACAGGTTACGTAAACATTTACTGATGTGGAGTAACTATACTATTTGTACTCTGATATGCAGGAAGGAAAGTGTTGATTAACACAGAAGAAAAAAAAGCGAAATTAGCTGATTGCATGCTCATAAGTGCAAGCTGTCATTGAACTGCTTTTAAAATAGACACAGCTGGGTGTTTGTGTTGAAAAATTTCTTGTGTTTTTGCTAATACTGAAATAAGCATGATTTTGTATACCAAACATTTTCAGATCATTAAAATTTGTAATCTGTGCTGGTTTTAAACACAAAGAAAAGAAACAGAATCATTTCGATGTAAAATTTGCTGATATTATATTAACTCAATCAGGTCTGTACAAATTGTGCATTGTGCCTCCTAAAATCTGTTTGATCAATTTAATACACAAAGTGCCAAACGTGGGTATTGTTTGTTAACATTGGACATTTTATTCAAATCCAAGCTCAGCAGCAAACTGGAGGAGCATTCCTTGAATACAACACCAGATCTGATTGATGAATTTTTAATGTTTTAAGGTGTTTCTGAGGTCAAAGCTGAGTGTGCATTGTTCTGTAACCCTGTGTAAAATTTTAGCAGGTGAAAATAAGTTTTTCTTCCATTTACTTTCAAATAATAAAAATTGGAGTTTGCTAATGCAAGCTGTAATAATATAATTTTATATTCCAGCAGCTCATATTGACTTGGAAAATGTTTTTCATGCAAATTAGAAATGTGTTAGTCTATTGTAAGGATTGCACAAGTGCAAGTCTTTCAAAATAGGATATTTTCATAGGGATAAATAGAATATTGTTTAATATAATAATATTATAAATCTAGTCTCCCTAATCACAAAAGTTATTTGCAAGTTTGAATTCCTTTTAATAATTTTAATTGCACATTATGGTGAGAGGGTGATATACACACACACACACACACACACACACACACACACACACACATATATGGTAGGCTTATTCAACAAAACATCCACTGTTTACTTAGCAGCCCACATTTGTCTCAGCAAGGGCTTCTTTTTAGAATTGCTACTAGCTGAAATGGAGGGGGAGGGGTTCCTGGACAGAGTATTGTGCAAGTTGAAAGTTCTCTGGATGGGGCTTTGTATATCCTACCGGCCAGTTTGAGTGCAAATTGGATTTGAAGTCCTTCCCAAGTCCACCGCGACTCCAGGTCTCAGACCTGAAACAAATTCTCATTCTAATTTTCTCTCATAGTCAACTTAACCTTAATCTGTCACACACGTACATCTACAAATGTGCACTGTTAACGAATAAAAGCAAGTCAGAGCAAATGTAATTTTTTTGTATATTATAGTGGTAAATTTCTCTCCTCTGTCTGCAGTCCCTCTTCCCCCACCCCCCACCCCCCAAAAGAGGACAGGCCTTATAAAGAGTGAGCAGTTCTAATGGAAGAATTGCTTGGGGGGACGAATTACATTATTCTTTTTTAGTTTTAATTAATAACCAAGGCTCTACCGCATATTTTATCCGAGTAGGGAGCAGCACATTTTATTTTTCTACTTGGCAGTGTTACATTAAGTCTTTCTGAGGGCCTATTTCCCTCTTTGAGTCCGTGCTTCATTTCTTTTCTCCTTGCTATCTGCTTGTTAAAGGAGGGCATACCATATTTACCTAAAATCCCTCCTACTCTGGGCTCCTTGTCTTTGGAGCGACGCTCAGCGCCAAACTCTAGCTAGAGGTCTCTTTCTGCAGATGCACAGGAAGTTTCTGATCCCCTGATGTTTGGGAGTGAGCGGATTCCGTGCAGAGGCATCCAGGTATTTCCAGAGATCCTGTGACAAGCAAGGTCTGCCCTCGTTCGAGCCAACTCGTCTGTAATCTCTTCCTAACAGCAGGTAATGGTGCTAACATTTAGTGATTAGAAGTTACTCTTTAGCGTGTTGTATCCTTGTTCTGTGGGTTTTGGTTACAGGTTATATGATTAGGTTTGCGAGAACAGTAGTGAACTAAACTTCCCAGTAAGAGGTCTTCACACCAGGGAAGTGTTACTTTTCTGCAGCAGCCCTGCCTCGTCACTCATTAGGGAGCTGCAGGTTGTCAGCGGCTGCTCTCAGCGCGCGCGTGCGCGCACCCGCAAAGTACCGGGGACGCGCACATGCGCGTGTGTACACAGACACACACAGACACACACACACACAGAGACACACACACACACACACACACAGCACTAAAACTAAATTAAGAAGCCGATGATTAAGACAAGCGTCTACTAGGCCTGTCATTTCAGCATCCTTCCATCATAACATTGTGGCACCGGCAATTTTGCTTGAGAACCTCGAGAAAAAAAAAAAATCTATGGGAGAGCCTTGTATTTGAGAGTAGAAATGTTTAACTTGTATTAGCTAGGGAACTACCTCGGAAGCAAGAAAGTCCAAGTTAAAAAAAAAAAAAGGCGAAAAAAAAGAAATAGAAGAAGGCGGCCTCGACAGAGACCCCTGGGATTCTCCAGGCAAGTCTTTGTGACGCTGCCAGGGAGGGGTTCCAGGCTCTCTGAAGCCAAGTACATACGAATTCAAGGGAAGAGTCCCGAAATCTTCAGCAAAATATGCATGGGAGAAGCTTTGTCCCAGTTTTACTCAGGGGAGAGCCAGGTGCGGAGAGACCCACAACAAAATATTACCACCAGAGGACCGAGGACCAAGGGACCTTTAGTGTCTCCGAACAATTTCTCAATCGAATATTATCGCATCTCTTGTAACCTAAATTCGCTGTACCCCTTTACTTGTTTCCCGTTATTTGCCTGCTCGCTCAGGACCTTCGAGGGCAAGGGTGGATGATTTGCTGGAGGAGTTGAGTCCCTGATAGTATGAGGCCAGGCCATTTTAGACCGAATCTAGGTGGGGGAAATGAGCCCACACCGCCTGGGCAAGCGCACCCTGGCAGTTCAATTCCTATTTTTCCTCTGCTTGTCCAAGGAAGTGGCACAGTCCATCTTTCAAAGGGGACAGAGAAAGCTCAGAGAAAGAAGAAGAGTTGGAGGGGTGGTCGTGAACTAGAATGAGTGAGGCTACAGCTCAGGTCCTTAGCTTTGACCCTCCAGTGTATTTGAAAAGGGAGGAAGTGAGACTTGACAAAAGCCAGCAAACAAAACAATGCTACCTTGGGCTTTCAATCAGTTGGGCACCAAAAGAGAAAAAAAGAAAATGACTTCATAATATATATCAGACTGAACGAAAAGCTTATAGGCCTCAAAATGTTGAGCTACTGAGAGTCAGAGCACACAACTGTCCCATAACTGTTCTTCTTAATTAGTTGGAGCTTCAATGTGATTTCCAGAAGGAGCTTGAATAATCTACTTTGGGAAGTGTTATAGGACCCTACAGAGAATGTGGGGCATCAAGTCTCTGTTTTGAAGCAACCTTCCAAATGGTCCCTGAAACTCCAGTTGTGTGAAGAAAGATGGAACGGTGTGACTCTGTGGTAACTATTAGGCAGTCAGCTCTGAATTAGTCATCTCTCAATAGTTAAATGTACACGGAAGGCACAGAAGAGCCCAAGGTCAGTCCATGCGATTGACAAGTATGTTATGAAAAATGCTCGCATCCACTGAAGGTCTGTGAAGGAATGAGAGAGAAAACTGCAATGAGAGAGGGTGAGCAGGCCAGGAGACACGCACAGATCCCTCGATCCTAAAGTCCCACGCCGCATGGGGAAAGTCATACTAGAGAAAGTAAACAATTTACTAATCAAATACATCTGCTTCCTTTATAAAAACCTGCGTGGACAAACCAGGGGACCAGTTTTCACACAGTGCTCATCTCACATCCACCCGCCCCCTCTGGAGCACCGGTTCCTGTAGGTCTTCCCCACCTCGCCCCTTAACCCGAAGCGGTAGAAAATCTGTTGGATCAGCGCATTCCAAAAGGTCCAGATCTTCTCTCTCGCCTGCCCACTCTCACGGGGCTATAATTGCGATGGTTCCGGGCGACGAGCGTCGCGGAGCCGGGGACCTCAGGCCTGCTGCACCCTCGCGCGCTGGCACCGCGCTCCTTTGTCGCCGATGCCTGCCGAGCGCAATCAAGACAGAAGCCTTGCTTCTGAGTTTCATCTCCAAATTTTCTCCCCCTTAAAGTTGCCATTTCAGCCTAGATACCTCTTTTTTTTTTTTTTTTTTTTTTTTTTTTTTTTTTTTTTTTTTTTTTTTC